AAGAGTGTGATCGGAAGCTCATCGCCCTGCGGGATGAGATCTCCATCGACCTGTACGAGCTGGAGGAGGAGTATTACTCGTCCAGGTACAGATAGGGCCGGACCCTGCACAGAGCACACCCGTGGGCCCGCGCCCGGCCGGCAGCCCCGAAGGTCCCGTCTTTCCGAGCCCTTCCTGGTCTTGGCGGCACAGCCCCGTGCCCGGGTTTGAGAGCAGAGCTCGCGGTCAGAGCCACTGGTGGACAGACAATTTATATTGACTGCCAGGCCCTGGGCAGCAGGATGAAAATCACAGAACTTCAGGGGTTGGGTGGGCCCAGCCCGAGAAGGGCAAGCAGGAGCCAGCATTCCTGGGGGGCTGCTGGCTGCCTCACTCTGGGCCTGTGTGGTTCTCTTAGCTTGTTAGCCAGTATCTAAACATTCCAGCCGGAGCTGGGTGAGCTTCTGGCAGCCCAGGTTCACGCCCAGAACGTGCAGGACGCTAGCGCCTGCCTAGGGATGCAGTTCCACGGGGGCGTCACCGAAACCTCACAGCACGCGTCAGGGTCCACAGAGGGGTGCGGAGGAGGAAAAAACTCGAACAGAGGATGGCCTTGAAGGCCGGGCCAGGGGTACGACCCCACCGAGTTCCGGTTCAGCTCGGCCCGGTTCACAGACCGGAGCCCTCCTACATGCTAGGCCCGTGCTGGGCCACAGGGATACGGCAGCGGGCAGGACCTGTCACCCCAGCCTGCGTGCACGACTTAGAATTCCAAACCCTGAGTCTTCTGAGCTCGAGGGGCCCTGAGAAATCAGAGTCCCTGTGTGATTCACATGGAGGAAAACGGAGGCTGGAAACTGGGAGGCCTCGCTCCTCTGTGCCCCTTGGCCGGAAAAATCAAGTCTCTGTTCAGACAGAGTCTGTGCCCCCCATGCCCTTGCCCACACAAACCTGTGGGGTTTGTTCTTCCTGTGCTGGCTTTCAAATGCTCCCTCCTGTCCCACGGAGGCCATGCTGGGGCCACAGAGGCCCAGGGCCAGCACTGTCTGCCGTCTGGGCCTTGGTTTCCCTGCCCTGTACTCAATGCCAGCCCCCACTGTCTTGGCCATCTTGGTGTCTATGAGAAGGCATAGTGTCTCTCTTTAGGTGGAATGGTTCTAGACTTTTCCAGAGGGTTCTGGGGCCATCTCTGGTCCCTGATATCTATTGGCTCAACAGATACGTGGCAAATACCTCTTAAACACCCTTCAGAGAGGGGTCTTGAGTAGGTCCACAGGGGTAGGGGTGTCTCAGACCACGCTGGGACATGGCTCCCCGCCCCACTGGATATTGCACGATCCCTTCATGTCCCTGTGTGTGTTTCCTGATGTTCCCGAGGGCCGGGCGTGTGGACTAAGTGGTTACAGGACAGCAGTTCAGCCCTGCCTGTTGAGGTTGGGGGCCGGGGCCAGGGGTGGCCGTGAGGGACCTGCCCAAAGTCACTTGACAAGACTGCAGGGAACCCAGGGGCCTGAGTGGCAGGCTTCCCATGTCCTGCCCCGTCAGTCTCTGGTTCACCCAGGGGGCTCCTTGCCCTCCTTGGAGCTGCAGGAGGCTGAGTTCCTCTCGGCTGTAAACACCTGTAGAAGGCGGGGCCTCTACACGGGGTCGAGTCCCCTAGAGCTCCCAAGCCGGGTTGCCGTGCCCTGCATGCCCGTGGCCGTGCTCGCCTGCTTCCTGTTCACAGCTTGCTCTTTCTCTGCCTATCACCCTGCACTCTCCTTGGGCTGCTGCTCTGTGCCCAGACTGCTGAGGGCAGGAGGAGCAGGGGAGGGAGGGAGTGAGGGGCGGGGCCGGAGGAAGGAGCAAGCCAGTTAGACGGGTGTGGGGACCTCCTCGGTGCTGTAGTCGCCCCTTTGACAACCCTAGCGAGCCGTGCTGCTCACCTACATCCTCACCCGTATCTGCCCGTGCCCGGGGAGGCTGCCGCCACCGCAGACCCCGTGTTAGAGGCAGGGAGACTGAGCTCAGGGGGCTTAGGCGCCTGTTGGAGACCACACGGCTGGTACAGTGGTACAGAATGGAGCGCCGGGGTCTCTCGTTCTGATCACCTCATCCGGCCATCCCTGCTGGGCGGAGATCCCAAAAAGACCAGGTCTCTGCTTTTGCGTCCTTGCGAAGTGTAGTGAGTGTGGAGAGACCACAGCAAGCTCTGGGCGCTGCTTTCCGGGGTCTGCAAAAGGAGGGCAGCCAAGCCCGGAGGGACATGGCAGCGCAGGCCGCTCAGCCTTGTGGCGGTCAGCTGGGAGGGACTTGCCGAGGTCACACGGGTGGCTGCTCCTGGAAGGCCTCCCTTCAGGATGCTCCGTAGGACCCCGAAGCAGGTGCGGCCGCACATACCCACCCTGAGCCAGGCTGGCCTGAAGAGGGGCCCGCACACAGGAGGGGAAAGGCAGATTTGGGGTGTGGTCTGTTTTCTTAACTCTGCTTCTATCTCGCTCCCTGCCCCGCCCCGGCTTCCATCCATCTCTGCCTGCTCCTGTCTCTCCCTGGGTTTCTGGTGGTGGAAAAGCTCAAGTCTTTGCGAAGCTAATGACCTGCCTCTGTGCGAAGCTTACTGGAGGCTGGACCTCGACACAGACTCTGCTGATGGCCTCTCAGCCCCTGTGCTGGCGTCCCCGGAGCCCAGCGCTGGCCCCCTGCAGGCTGCAGCCCCTGCCCACTCCCATGCCACTGGCCCCGGCCCCACAGAGCACGCCTGAGCCTCCCAGGGTTCCCCTCCCCGCAACCCTAGGTTCTTAAGTCTGGTGTGGCCTCCTTGGGACCTTTAGCCCAGGGACAGCACCCCCCAGAGTGTTGGGGAAGATACTGCCCTCAACCGTTTCCAAGGTAGCCCGTCCCTCGGAGATGCCACCTCTGTTCACTGCCCACCTGGCCTGCTGGGCAGACATTTCCTAGACAGTGTGTCCAGGCCAATAGTGGGGCTGGAGGACGTCCTGCTATGTACAAGCCACAGGGTGGCACTCAGTGGACAGTACTGGCCAAGTCCACGCTCCACCCTCCGGTCTCCTGTGCAGAGACGCACCTGCTGCTTTGTCCTGAGGGCCCCTGGTAGCTGACCGTCCCCGCAGGGTTGTGGTGGGGAGGGGGGGTCCTGAGAGCAAGGGACCTTCCTCACTCTGCCACACACATTCCGGTGGGTTTTGTAACAAGACAGTTGAATAAAAACAGCACTGCCATCTTGCGTTGGTTGGCTCCTTCTTGGTGGTCCGGGACCAGTCGGGGATCACCCCCGGTTTCCCACTGGCTGTGGGGAGAACAGCTGCTGGGCTCTGCCTGGACAGCCTGGGGCTCCAGGTAAGCCTTCCACCCGTAGGGGCTTCAGGCAAGCAGGGACTTGGTCAGTTTGGGGCTAATGGCTGCATTCCCGTTGCCTAGAACTGCCTGGGAGCTGGAAAGTCCTTAATGCTTGGCGACCAGAGAAAAACTGGCATTGTTGCACGTGACGAGGTCCAGCTGCCTGTCCTTCGGTCCCATCTAGTCCTCACTGGACCTGGCATTGGTGTGGCAGTTACCTGCACTACAGGGAGGAACGGCCACGGGCTTGGAAGGGGTTGAAGCGTTGTGTCCACCGCCACCGAGCCGGGTGCTGCTTCCGCAGCAGAAATTGGGGCTCAACCCAGACGGAATGCTAGGCCCGGTGCCGGGGTGCCAGGCCCCCCCGGAGAAAGGGGGTTTCGAGCCCACGCCCTGTCACCAGCGTGCCTCCTCACGAGGGAGACAGCAG